CATATACATATACATATACATATACATATACATATACATATACATATACATATACATATCCATATACATATACATATACATATACATATACATATACGTATACATATACATATACATATACATATACATCTGTACATATACAACATACGCGTACACATACACACAAACATATACATATACTTATATAGATCGACATGCACATGAATATACCCTGTCAAACCCCTGAATCACAAGTCCAGATTTGACAATGCCACTAAAGCCTAATGGTCCCCAGCTTTCACACTATCCCCGCACCACAAACAGCACACTAAACCACTAATGTGCTGAAGCCCCAAACTTTTTACAGGACGTTTCTAGAAACCCTCGTAGCACCCTTACTATTTATAGGACCTATATAGAAACCGTTGTAGTACCCTTGCGTTTTAGGGCCTTTGTAGAACCCCACTAAAACCCTTGCTATTTACGGTGCCTTTCTGGAAACACTTCTAGTACCCTTGATATTTATAGGAACTTTATAGAAACCCCTGTAGCACCCTTACTGGTTACAGTGCCTTTCTAGAAAACTTTGTAGTACCCTTACTATTTATAGGTCCTTTATAGTAAGCCTGGTAGTACCCTAAACCCTAAACCCTAAACCCTACACTCTAAACCCTACACCCTAAACCCTAAACCCTAAACCCTAAACCCTTAATGGAACCCAGGAATTCAACCAAGGCACACCGGCGAGGGAAGCCGCAACCGGCTGACGGAAGCCTCCGTCGGTTTAGGGTTTAGGGTTTAGGATTTTTGGGTTTAGGGTTTAGGGTTTGGGGTTTAGGGTTCTTGGCTTTTGGGATTTAGGGTTGTTATACGGGTTCTAGAATATACTGGTCGTCCATTCAGGGTTTAGGGCCTAAGGGTACGAAAAGGGTTCTTTTCGATCAGGGCTTTAGGGCATGATAAGGGGTCTATGATGCGGCTTGAAGGTCTGGGGCCAATATACTCGTACTCGAAGCCGTAAACCCGAAACTCTACACCCTACCCCTAAGCCCCATACCCGAAACCCCAAACCCTAAACCCTAAACCCCAAACCCTAAACCCTAAACCCTAAACCCTAATCCCTAAACCCTAAGACTTCCTTCCAGCAGCATGCAAGCACAAGCACCCAAGAAAAGGGCAGCCCAGAAGCTCTGGGGCGTGAGTGGAGGGGCTCCAGCTCATCTATGTCATCGCCAGGGTTCAGGATTTATATAGGGGGATTCATAATTAGAATAGGGTTTAGGGTTTAGGGTTTAGGCATACTAAGGAACCTGGAAGTACTGCACAGGATCCCTCCATGTTTCCAGACCCAACCTCATCTTCTGAGCTCTCCTGGTCAGTCAGAGATCCGAAAGCCACTCAACATCGTGTCACCTTTCGGCAGGCCTTCGGATCTGGGCCCCTGCTTCCGGACGACGCCTGGTCAGTCTCAGAATCCGAAACCAAATCAACATGATTTGTGCCACCTACTGTCCTCGTCTTGATCCTCAGAATATGAAACCGCTCAGCCTTCGTCAACAGGCTGTAGCCTTCCGAATGGGGTCGCCAATTGCAAGCGACTCCCCAAGCGCCCTGAAGCCCTGAAGCTCCGCTACCACCCGGAAGTGTCTCACAACGAAACCCGGAGCCGAAAGCCTTGAACTAAAACCTAGGACCTAAGCCCCTAACTCAAAGCACTAGTCTCAGACACTGCACCCAAGCACTAACAACCGAAGCCGCAAGCACGTAAAGCACCAAAGCCTGTGGACTCACTCCAGCCCGGCTCATCCGAAGGGTGCGTGTCAGAAACTACAGGACCGCCACTTAGAACCCCAAATAGTAGGCTCCTATTCATTGTCAATGAGCTAGACAGATAAGTCTGTTGACATATCTAATCTTTTAGCTGCCTACCTACCTACCTACCTACCTACCTACCTACCTACCTACCGACCTACCTACCTACCTACCGACCTACCTACCTACCTACCTACCTACCTACCTACCTGGCTACCTATCTATCTCCTACTCACCTAGCTTGCATCGGCAACGACTATAACAGACCCCCTTAAGAGGCCCTAAACCCTAAACCCTCAACCCTAACCCCCTAACCCCCTAAACCCTAAATCCCGAAACCCTCAACCCTAAACCCTAAACCCTCAACCCTGAACCCTTAACCCCAAACCCTCAAGCCCTAAAGCCTAAACCCTCAACCCCTAGCCCTCAACCCCTAAACCCTCAACCCTAAACCCTCAACCCCTAAACCCTAAACCCTGAACCCCTCAACCCCTAAACCCTAAACCCCTCAACCCCTAAAACCTCAACCTTAAACCCCTAAACCCCTCAACCCCTAAACCCCTCAACCCTAAACCCCTCAACCCCCAAACCCTGGTAAGTAAGAATCCGCTGAGGCCCCCAAGCAACAACCGGCCTGGCTCCCGGCCAGGGTCGCAGGATTCCTGGGGACAGTTTCGGGTTTTGGGTTCCGGGTCGGGGGGTTTAGGGTTTAGGAGTTTAGAGTTTAGAGTCTAGAGTTTAGGGTTTAGGGTTTAGGGTTTAGGGTTTAGGAGTTTAGAGGAAAAGCTGCTGGTTTTAGGGTTTAGGCTTTAGGGCTTTAGGGCTGAGGGTTGAGGGTTTTAGCGGTTTAGGGTTGAGGGGTTAGGGGTTTAGGGTTTAGGGGTTTAGGGGGTTCAAGGTTGGCGGTTTTGAGGGTTTCAGGGTTGTTGAGGGGTTGGGGATGGAAGTTTAGGCTTGTTTATTTATGTTTTTTTGCTTTGGCCATTCTCTGGTCTGCCTGACCGCGAGCCCGAATGCCTTGAAGCTGGGGGCTGGGCTCACGGCCACACTGAACCCTGGAACTAGGACACTCTGTTCGGGGATTCGGGCTTAGGGTTCAAGGTTTCCGGACCGGGCACCGAGAAATCCAGGCAACAGCTCGAGGCTCTAAGCAAGAGAATGGCAAGCTACGAACTACCAAAGGTAGGGCTCTGCGCGGAAGGAGAAAGTCGAGGATACATGATAGTAGTAGCAACTAGGAGAAAGCTAATGCTAATTGCCACAGAACTTCACACGGGGCTGCCGCCAGGGGCAACGTCAACCGGTTGTCCATGGGCCGCCCTTGTCCAGTCCGAAAGCAAGCGCGAAACATCAAAGCCCTGTCGACTGATCCCTGTAAACATATGGGTAGTTCTCTAAATTGGGGGCCAGGGTCCCCTTTTAGGGACCTTGATTTTCGGGTGGCGCACTATTTTCCTTACAAAGGGACCCAAAGTTAGGGAACTACCCACATAGAACCCTTACAGCGCCCTTATGAAAGCCCTATAGAAGCCCTTACAGATCCCTTTAAGGAACCCTGCAAGCGACCCCTGAATTAGAGACCTACCCAACCCTAAACCCTAAACCCTAAACCCCTACTTGGAGGATCATGGGACTTAGTAAGTAAGGTTATAACTACCTTAATTGGGGTTATAATTACTTATAGGTATAGTTGCCTTATTTATAGCCCTAGTTACTACGTCCCATGATCCTCCAAGTAGATCCTAAACCCTAAACCCTAAACCCTAAACCCTAAACCCTAAACCCTAAACCCTAAACCCTAAACCCTCAAGCCTAAACCCTAAACCCAAACCAGTCACAGAAAGCTCCAGCGATCCGCTCCGATCCTCGTGCGCTGAGGCGCCGAGAACGCGTTTCTGGGGCCTGGCGGTTGAGAGCTTAGGGTTTAGGGTTTAGGGTTTAGGGTTTAGGGTTTAGGGTTTAGGGTTTAGGGTTTAGGGTTTAGGGTTTAGGTTTTTTTTGAGTGCAGGATTTAGGGTTTCGGGTTTAGGGATTCAGAGTTTCGGGCTTTGGCGTTTCGGGGCTTCAGGGGTTTAGGACTTTTTCGGTTTTCTGGGTTGCAAGGTGAGTGAATAGGGTTTAGGGTTTAGGGTTTAGGGTGCCCTACATCTCCAAGAACTGTCAAAGATAGTTGCTGCGTTGCGTAGGGAGTAGACAAGACTGTTGGGGTACATCATCGTCATATAAAAATGTATGGATATGGGTAGTTCTCTAAATTAGGGTCCCTTTTTGGGTCCCCAAAATAGTACGGCACCCTTATAAAAAAGGACCCCAAAAGGGACCCTGATTTGGAGAACTACCCATACACAGGGACCACAGTAGGGTACTAATGTTATAATTATTCAGACCTCCGCATTAGGGTTCAAGGCAACTGTTCGGCTCCAGACTCGTGCTTAGGGTTTGGGGTTTCGGGTTTAGGGCATAGGGTTTGGGGTTTCGGGTTTAGGGCTTAGGGTTTGGGGTTTCGGGTTTAGGGCTTTGGGTTTGGGGTTTCGGGTTTAGGGTTTAGGGTTTGGGGTTTAGGGTTTAGGGTCCTAGGGTTTCGGGTTTAGGGTTTAGGGTTTGGGGTTTAGGGTTTAGGGTTTACTATGTCACTTCATGCTCTGCAGAGGGTGTGCAACTGCAAAACTTGAAGACCTTAAGCCAAGACCTCAGCAGACATCAACCTTCGGCCAATACCTCTCCGGACATGAGCCGTCTGTTACCGTAAGACTCGCTAAGAACTCCTGAATTAAAGGGAACTACAGGTGAGGAGTTTAGGGTATATAGGGCTTCTATAAGGCTTCCATAATTAAGGTATATAGACCTTCTATAAGGCTCCTATAGCTGCAAGCCCTAAAACTTTGTAAATCCCCAAACGCCCCAAGCCCTGAAACCCAAATCCTGAAGCACTCAAAGCCTGAACACGCACAACCCCATGTTAGCACCCCCTAATTTTTCTTGTGCAGCCTTAGATCCGCAAGAATTTTCAGATTTTCATTCTCAAACCCTAAACCCTAAACC